ATATTTGTTCTGATCTTGTATACGATTTACCTCTGCTTGATTATTTGTTGCAACAGAAACAAGATCATGATTATCTTCAGATAAAGAAATAGGATGTTGTTGTGGTTGTTTGTTTTGTTCGTGTTTTTGACTTTTACGCTTTTCACTCTTACGATTATCAGTAATTTTTTGTACGAGACTTTTTCGAATGGAACCCCATATACGACCAATATCTTCCTCTTTAAAACCAAATCTTTGCCGTACGACTCCTACAAAAAAAAATAAAGGGAGATGAGTATAAAAAGATAAGAATATTTGTAAACTGTGAAGTAAATCAACAGATTCTTGTGGAATTGGAACATGATTTTCTTCATTACCATGAAAATCTGGTAAATAACCGCTTGTAAATTCTGCATCTGTTAAAACAATATGTGCAGCTGATAATAAAAATCTACTAGCCGTTTTGCCACGTAGTGTCATCAAGTTGACTTTATTTACGATCTGAAAAGAAAACTTGCCATTCTAAAATAGATTCATGTGCACTTACTAAAGGTTCAATTGGTGGTGATAGATTAGGTTTCTGAAAAAGAAAAATAGTGATAGCTAAAACCTTCCAATTAATTCCTGTAAATCGTCAAGTTTTTTTTCTATTTGATCGAGATTTTATAGTTTTATCTGGTGGAACTGTATTAAATAGTGAAACCATATGTAAATAACTGGTGACATACTGTATCTTATTTGTATCCGATGCTACTTTTTTCATCATTTTTTACAAAGTCACCTATGTTGTTTTGAACTGTTTTCACTACTTTATTTTAAATATCTGATGACAACAATGGACCTGATGATGCTAATTATTCTTTTGAAGATTTTTGATCAGGCTTGGTTTTTTTTTTGATATTGATTTCACATTGGAATTATGAACTCGTTCTAAATTAAAAATATTAAATCTCTCTAGACTTTTATACCCTGAAAGAAATTTACATATATAGCCCAATTACAAGACTTCAGGAAATCAAACATAGTTTTCTCCCCTGTTTTCTAAAGTCCCAAGGTAAATGACATGTGCTTCTGTTCTGATGGGGATACAACCGATTATTATTGATTCAATGCAAAAAATGCAACAAGTGAATTTATAATTGATTTCAACAAACACTTAAATTCAGGAGAGAGTAGCTCAATGATGAATTTTATTTTAAAACGGCTTTAAAATTATTGGCGCCACTGTACAATATCAAATGAAACAGAGTCGATCTTAGTTTCAACAAATATCTTACAACTAAACTACCACAAAAAACATTCTCCTTGCTTATATTGACGTTTGAAAGCGCATGAGTTTTATGTTGAATGAATACTAATCAAAAGCCCGTTAAAAACATAAGGAAACCTTTTCATATATTCTTGCCAGGATCCTTAATACAAACAGTGACAAATCTTGACAGAATCTTCGAAACTAAACTCTGAATAGACACCATACATACATCTGCAAAAATCTTCATAAGATTTTCCTATTTGCTCACCAAGCTTCTGATCATAGTTGAATTGTTTTATAAGAATTCGAAATGCTTGTTCTTGAAGAGTTTCGAGCAGGATCGTGATCGAAGCTTGGCCAGATTTATTGTTTTAGGATTTTGATAGATCTTGTATTAATTGTGGGTGTGGGTGTAGGTGTGGGTGGGGCGTGGGTGTGAGGGTAGGTGTGGGTGTGTGTATGAGTGAAGGGAAGATTAACACCCACACCCATCAAGATCTACTTGGAAAGTGTTAGCTCTAATATGTATAGAACGAAAGAGACAAGCAGTGTCACTGATGTTATGTGACAGAACGATGAAAAAGATGACCTTCATGGGAATCGAACCCATACCTCCTGCTATCCGGGCAGTTGTCCTAAGCCAATTAGTCTAGAAGGCGCATCTTAATCATCGTTTAGCGTCCAAGTAATTCATCATGGACGCTAACAGAAAGGTCTATCATTGCATTGGAAGGGTCTTCTAGGAAAATCCTGACTGGTTGTGGTAAAATCTGAGAAATTCGGCCCTGGATTGGCGAGTTTCCAAAAGTACAGAGCATGATATCGAACTTCAATGGTGTCCATTAGATAGAGTGCGTCAAGATCTACTTGAAAAGTTTTATCATTACGTTGGAAAGGTCTTCTGAGCGAATCGCGACCGTAGCTTCTCAAAAGAGATACTTTTTAATTAAACATTTCGCTATTTAAAGAAAGCTTTGGTTAGTTAAAATTCTCAAAAGAGATACTTTTTAATGAAACTTCGCTATTTAAAAAGGTTTTAGCTATTTAAAAGCTTTGACATTGATTTTTTTGTACTTAGTCAGCAATTTTAACAAAGTACCAGGGACACTGAATTGTTTAAATAGATGTGTAGCTCTTTGTTTTACATTCTAATTTTTTTCATCTATAGCAGCCCTAAACTTCATCCAATAGGGTACAAGAAAGACTGAATTAAAAGAAATTATTCCAGATGTTTAAGAAAGTAACAGAACATGACCGATTGTTAGATTTTTTCATCATCTATCAATTAAGTAATGTTGTGCCGGAATAATATTCATCATTAGTTACAGAAGGTTGTGTCATACTATAGTCAAAAACATTTGCTTCCTATTTGAATATCTGTTGTTAATACAAAATGTTCCTATCTAATGTTTTAAATACAATCGCCGTTTATTTGAATATTTGTAAATCTCTTATAAACAATACTCCAGTCAAAAAACTGAATCTAGACCACAGAATAACGAATAAACGAGATTTTACATGCATACTCTACGGGCGAAAATTTGTTGATAATGTTGATAATTATACAGTTGATAATATATCAATCTATAAAATGATCATATTCACTTCGTTCAGTTTTTTCTATGCTTCAAAAAAAATCAACAGTTTGAAATAAATTGCTGATAAATTTTAAATATCTATAAAGATTTTTGACAGTACGGATAAAAGCAAATTTCAATATCTGATTACTTCAAAAGACTTCTATTGAGTTCACCAACATGGACTTCTAATTTTCTAGACACTTCTAAGCCTTCAACAAATTCACATGACTTGATGAGGTATATCAGTACTTCACAAACTTTCACGTTTTAAACCTTTGCTATTTTTTCTACAAAATTTTAAAAAACCATAGTTGTAGAATCATATAAATATTTAGGAAAACCAGGCATACATAACTTGATGATGACATTTTGTAAATAACTCACAACCATCTCGCAACCCCTGCTCTGAAGAATAAGTAAGGTAGAATGAATATTTGAGGAAATATCTATTACTGCTGATAATGAAGTATTCTTTTTGGTGCTTATAGGAATAAACATATAATAGTCAGTATTTTGTTTAGTGTTCAAAATTGCGAAGTATGATTTAGCTCTTTTCCTTTCTATGGCAAGTTTAAATAGTTGCAAAATCTTTAGATAGCTATGATAGGATTAAATAGCCAAATGAAAGATTAAATAGCTATGGCAACTTTAATTAGCCAAAAGATCTTTAGATAACTATAATAGAATTAAATAGCCAAGTGAAAGATTAAATAGCTATACAAATCATTAAATAGCCATAGCAAGTTTAAATAGCTACGAGATCTTTAGATAGCTTTGGTAGAATAAATAGCCAAGTGAGAGATAAAATAGCTATACAAATCATTAAATAGCTATAGCAAGTTTAAATAGCTATAAAATCTTTAGATAGCTGTAGTAAAATAAATAGCCAAGTGAGAGATTGAATAGCTATGCAAATCTTT